CTTACATTTAAAATGCAAATACAAAATAAAAAATACCTATTTTCATTTTGTATTTAAGTACTTTTTTGATAAAAGCATTTTGTATTTTATTTAAAATACCTTTCCAAACGTATTTTCTATTGTAAAATTTAAAATATATTTTCGCCTTTAAAAGTTTTGCTAGTATCACTGATCAAACATTTTATAAAATGATGAATAAAGTTGCTAAAATTGGCTACTGAAGGTATTAGAAGGTTAAAAAGGGGAAAAAGAGACATTCCATGAATGCCTTCTAATACTTTAACTGAAGAGAGCCCAAAAAATTCTAGACTCCTTGGAAATGGATAATCTAAAATATTGGATCGATATTATTTTCCGAGTTCAACGCCTTGATCCACGGAATTTTGTAGTTTCAAATTGCTATCAGCACCTGCCAAATCACCACTTATCGTACCTTTAGCAAGGAACTACGAAAAATAATATGGAACTGATATACGCCAGCTGTGTAAAATGGAATACTACAAGATAATGTGGTGTGGTATTAAATGTCTATAATCCAAAATTCTTAGAAAACGATTCGAAAAGCTTCACTTATTAGATGAACCCAAAGCTAAAGAAACTATGGATTCCATTTGTTTATCTTATTACAATGTGTAAAAGATTGGAAACAAAATGAAGTTGTAAATATTTTAATATAAAATGATTAATTTTGATTTTACATCAATAAAATTATTTGCATCCTTATTTTGATCTGATCTTTCACGCTAAACGAACTATTTGAGCATCAGTGTCTTTTTTCCAATTAAAACTGATGGCAAAGGTAAATAAGGAAGCAAATAGATGAATTATTCGTTGCTGAATTGAAGAAACAATAACATAAAGATAGAAAAACTATATCTCAATCACTTCAAACAGAAAAATATAAATCATACTCAATCTTCGCAGCTGGCGATATAGTGCAAACACCACTATTAGCCTAGATAAACTCCAATGTTTAAAAAATGAGCAAATGCCTGCAAGATTCTCTTAAAAAAAATATATTATATAGTTAAGTAAATGTACAAAATTAAATAGGTACTACAAAAAAGTATTAATTTTAAAATTCGTATTGTGCATTTAGCATTTCAAATACAAAAGGAAAATCTATTTTGTATTTTACATTTGAAATAAATCAAAAAAGCATTTGCATTTTGTATTTAAAGACTTTAAAAAAAACCATTTTGCACATCTCTATGTATTTCATGGAGATGAGTAATTTTTTTAAGTATTTCTGTACATAGCAGTTAAATTACTAATCAGTCTATTTTAACCCGAAGCGTTTGGGGAAGTACCAAACACAACAACATGCTGTGTGGGACACGAAATAGAAGCGGTCGATTATCAAAAGCCTACTTTGATACAACTGATCAGTTTTATTGTATTGATTGACAACGCTAAGTGTAATAATTATTATTACAGTGGAATTCGTTTATTATGACTCCGCCTATATTGACAAACCGCTTAATATGAAGTAATTGCAGTGTTTTCATATTAAATTCTCTATAAAAAAAGTTTGGATATAATGACTCCGTTTAAAATGACATACCGTTTATTATGACAGATTCTCAAGAAATCATGTCCGGCTATAGTGAACCAAATGATTAATAATAACATTTTCGCTCATTTTTCTGACTTTTCTTATGTATATCGATATTACAATTCATTGTCCTTTTACTTTTTCTGTTAATAAATATATACAATTTGTAGTTTTTCTCTCTATTAAACTAAATAATTAACCAAAATAGAAAGTTGTTTATTTTCTAAGACTATGCTTTGTATGACGCCCGCTT